ACTGAAATTATGCGTGCGAAAAATGTTAAAGGTCACCATGGTTTACTGGATAATAATTTTTATTTTTCATCTGTTGGCTTCCCTTTGTTAGTTTCTACCCTTTGTTAGTTTCTACCCTTTGTTAGTTTCTACCCTTTGTTATCTTATTAATTTTGTTGTCCTTACATGTACATATATTATATATGCTCTCTGCCTCCTGGCATTCATTCACCTGATGAAGGAGTAAGCATATACTCCGAAACGTTGTGTTCCTCATAATAAAGAAGTTGACATCCATATATTCTATTCCTTATGTGTATCACTTCTAAATGCCTTTTAAAGACCTATTTTCATGTTGTTTATATGCTTGCTTGAATTTGTTACTTAAATGCCCCAAGGATCTGTGTTTTCTTTTTGTTCTATTTTTATTTTTATTTTTCACTATTGTCATTTATGCCTTTGTGTCCTGATATATGTTTTGATGGTCAAATAACATTGATAGATTTTGAGAGACGATTCTCATTTATTTTTCTCTGCGTTTTACTATAATGGCTTAATAGCTAGTCTTGTAGAAAATTTCTCTCATCAGTCTCAGCTCAAAACTGATATTTCAAGAAAATAGTCCAGTTTGTTTTGATATCTGTTTTTAAATTATCAGAATGAAAAACATATTTGATATAATGCAAATTTGAAGTGTTAGAATCAAGCACCTGTCCCTATCCTTCAAGCTTAAAGCTCAGTGGTTACTCAGGAGCAATCACGATTTTTCTCTCATTTTCAGTTTTCATTGTTTGCTATTGAGCAGTGTTTGCTAATGTGTGGTTAGTTTACGAAGGTGCCAATCAAAATCCACAGGGGCATGACAATGCAAACATTGCTGGAAATTAAGCGTGAAAAACAAAAAGGAAAAAAACCTCATTGTGGAGTGAGAAATTACAAGGTCGTCAAATCGCAGGGGCAAGATTTCCTTAACCTAGGGCGGAGAAAGCGTGAACCTCTCTTTTACGCCTTGACAACAGGATGCGTGATGGCAAGCAGTACCTGAAATGAGAGACCATCCTCGCTCACTGCTCAACACTCCAGGGCAAAATTTCACCATAAAACAACTTCTCACCACTGGCAGATTTGACATGTCTTTTAATTCTATGTTGAGCCAGGAAATGGCAAAATACAAGCTGCCTTGCTGATGACAACGTTGCTGGAACATAAGCCCACAGTCAGGATATTATCCAAAGAACGATATTAATCATTTTGTTTTGCTGCATTGGGTTTAGCCCGCAGCAAAATAGATCCAGGCTAAAACAATACAGTGAAATGAAGTCAGTCCTGAAAGTTGTCCATGCAAAGGAGTCGCACGTACAGGAGCCTTCGAGAATTATTAACTGGCTGAATGCAGACAAGCTCTTCCTGACTTCTCCAGTTCATCAGTAATAAACTCCTGTGAAATGTGATATGCTCCTTTCCAGTATCATGCAGCATGGACAGCAAAAATTGCCCCGCCAATACAATTTGCTAATATAGTATCTATTAACTCTGTCAATGAAAATCTTGAGTTTCAGGCGCATTGGACAATAAAAACATTGTGCTGCAGTGAAACGGATATCTCAACTCCATCTAAATTAGGAGTATTGGCATGGAGGCCTTGGAGCTCAGACATAAAATCTCAGACCAATATCAAACAATTCATTTATCAAAATCACTGCGTTCAATTTAGGTTTGGTTATATGGAAGAAAGAGCTGGAAGAGATGGATTCCCGTTCTAGCAGGGAAAGTGTTTGGTTTTACAGTTGGAGTTTATGGACTGGAGTGAAATAAATGTACATATAATCTCATTAAGTGGTTTATGGTTTGGAGAAACATAAAACTGGTGTGATTGTGGCTGGATCAAGTTCCATTTATTCAATCACCTCGTGTGTGTCCTGGGTCAGGTTGGGTCCCCATACCCATCCTTGCCATAACAGTTGATTCAGTTTAGAACTGAGTTGTCGCAATGGCTGCTGTGCATGAATTATACACTACTCAATTTTAGAGAGGGAGTCAGTGAAACACTGTTAATCTAGGCAGTGCCATTTCCAGTTCAGTTGTCTGGATTAACAAATTTCTTGGTTATCAAATTGTGGTTACTTAAAAATTGACTGACATATGTTTTGTGTTTATGGAAGTATAAACATAAAAAACAGTGTATGCAAAGAGTGCCCTCAGGTTTTTATGTTGATACCTCCATAAATGCAAAACAATATGGAAGTTGATTCTTAAACCTCAACTGATGATTTAAACATTAACACACAGAAAACTAGACAACAATATAAAATCAGTGTACTATTGTAAATAGTATAAAATATCTCTGTAAACCTATCAAACTTTGAGAAGTATACCATATATAGTCTTTGAAAGGCATTTAGAAGTGATACACATAAGGAAGAGAATTTATGGATGTCAACCTCTTTATTATGAGGAACACAATGTTTTGGAATATGTACTTACCTGATGAAGGAGTAAGTATATGTATATACTCTGAAACGTTGTGTTCCTCATAATAAAGAAGTTAACGTCCATTAATTATACCATATATATTTTAGAAAAAAACTTCCTTTATATATATCAATTCAGTCACACGCTTCTGATAAATCAACGGAAGCCAGGGTTGGGAAAAGTCAAGGAACTGTGATTTCTAGAAGTAAGTAACTTGAAAGTGGCCTATAGTGAACATGAATACATGTATTGTATAACATAAAAAATATACAGTTCGTGTTTAATGTGCCTATTTTGATTTAAGATTTTATATTGTACCGAACCTGTATTATAGTACAAAAACTAATTTGAATGAAAGACTTTTATAGAGAATAGTGAGTGAGTGAGTGAGTTTGATTTTACGCCGCTTTTAGCAATATTCCAGCAATTTCATGGCGGGTGACACCAGAAATGGGCTTCACACATTGTACCCATGTCGGGTTATAGAGAATAGATATGCCCATAGCTTGATACAGCCATCCACATGTAGCATGTATGTTAAACCAACTATATGGTATGTAGTTGTAAAAAATAATTTGACTTGACATTCTTAAAAGTAGCTTACATGTGGATCATAGAGATGCCCATTGCCGGATGCAGACAACAACATGAGGATGCTAGAATGCAGCATCCTGTATCTTCTAATTGTTGCATTGCACTCCAGCTGAGTGCAGTCCTATACAGTTAATTAATAGTCAAATAATGGTTATTTGTTGGGATTGTGCAGTTCCACAAAGGGTTGTTTGCTCTCTTCATCAGTATCTGAGTGACCTCCCTGTACCTCCAGTCATTGAAAGAGTTGTTAGTGTGTCTTAAGAGGTGCGTTCAAGTTGGCGATGCCAGTTTGATTCCTAATGAATGATTATATACTTGGTGGCCACTGAGGTTGTTCATTCACACATGCACTGCTATTGAAGAAGTTGACCAGAGAGTCTTTAATTTCCTGTCACTGGTGGGCTGAAGGCGACACTTTGCTCATGCTTCAATAGCTTAGGAATTAACGTTGTCTTTGCTTGCAAATGGTCGATGGGAATTCTCATGGCTTTTATTCAGACTTTGGTCTTGAGTTGAAAGGGATTTGGACATATTGTAGCCCACAACGTCTCGTAATGGTGGGCCGAATCTGCGTATTCAGTTGGAAGAGGAAGTCCCTCCGTAATATTGCATTGATCGCATCTCAGTGGCTATACAGCTTGTCACATGCAGGATGTCGTGTTCCAAATCCGCGGGAAATCAAGGTTCTTGTGGGGCCCACAGTGACACAAGATTATTAGAAGCTCACACTTGACTTATTCCACTCTCATGGTCACGTTTGTTTCCCCAGTCTTGTATTCACAACCATCACCAAATTCCATTTTGAAATAAAGAACAAATTTGAAAAGAATGACTTAATTTCCTGAAAGAGCTCTGTCGATTTTTTTCTGATGTAATTGAGTGTTTCCGAGACAGTTGAACCTCACATCTCTTTTTGAAATTATGAATGGCAGTCTTTAGTGTTTCACCAAATCTGCTTGCATATGAAAATAAGTGGAGCTATTTGTCAGCATGGGAGAGCTCTAGAAATAGTTCCAGGTCTTCAAACACCTCTTCACAACTCTCTAAAGCACTTTCACCTTCTCTTCAAAAGAAAACACTCGTTTTCAATGGGTCCTGACTGAATTAGCCCAAGGTGAAGTGTGAAACCATTGTATTTGAACAGGGGGTGCCAAAATCTCCTCCGCTGCCATGAAATCCTTGATAACCTGACACAAAAAGGCAGTATCACATTTGAAGGCCATGACTCACTATGTCTTCTTCTCAGAGTACTTCATATCATCTGGTTTATTTGATGATTCAAACTGGTATGATATACCTAACATTAGTTTGTGTAGGTTTTTAGAGAGATCTTTTTCTGATGCTGGATTTTATATCAATTGCTGTTTAACATAGAATGTTTTTGTAATTGTGTATTTGTTAAGTACAGCTTGCCTTGTTATAATTAGCCCAGTAACTGAAGCAGTGACCTATTCTTACTCACAATACATATTGTCCTGCCTTCATTAATCCGGGTGTGTTCCTGAGGGAATAACAATCTGTATACTGTAATCAACATAATCATTCTGTGCCCAAAAGAATTATCATGTTGATTGTCAGGGGCGCTTATTGAAGCAGGGTGCTGAATACAGTAAAGGGACATTGCAAAGTATTTATGATGTAAAGAAAATTTGTTACGCTGGATGATTTTGTGGCACCTTCCGAATAAACATGAATTGGTGCTGCTTGAAGTTATTTTCCAGTTTATTTGCAAGTTTACGGTAGAGTCCATTATGGGTAAATGTGAAATGTGATGAGAACTGGTGTCAGGAATAGAGCTGACAGATTGTAAATAGAACATTCACCCCCCTCCCCACCCCCCAAACTGTAGATGGAAAGGAAAGTCCAAAGTGAATTAGCCATCTATTATTGGAATTTGATACATAGTGTCTACCCATGGATATCATTGGATTCAATGTACAATTTTTTTATTTCAGCTACATCATCAGTGTTGGAGTGATTGACAAGCTTCAGCACTACTTCAGCAACGTGCGCGGGCCTATTGATGGAGACAAGAATGCTGCTGACTTCCTTCAGCACAGCCTGGGCCTGCTGGTGGCTATGACCAAGTTCATGTCCAAAAGGTATGTTGGTGCCGTGTTCAGTGTCCAGCAACCAAAGCCTTTAACATGATGACAATAGGAATTTGTGCCCTATTAAACATGTGTTTTACATAACATGAATCAGCATTATAGTTCTTGAACCAGAAGATAGTATTATTAATTTAACAACTTCAGAAAAAAATGAAAAAGGAATAACTAAATAGGCTTAAAAAATTGTCTCAGGCTCAGCCTGTGGCTGTATAATTTTTAAGCTTTCAAACAAAATAATGACATAAACTTGGGAAAAGTAGGTACTTGTTTTCACTGCCTGAGTACTTGTTACTGAAATAGTCTTAAATGTCTCTGTTCCTCTATCACATTTAGTATCTGGAGCATAAGTACATTCACTATTCTTTTGTGAAACTTTGAAATTCAAATTGAATGCACACCAGGCAAGTTATGAACTAGTGCCTTTGCCATGCAGGAATTTGTGAATTTTGTGTGTGTGTTTAGAATAAGTATATAAGTATACGAATAAGTATATAACTTAGGTTCAAAAGAGGCTGAGATTCATTTCCAGAGCATAAACTCAAAAACAGTTCAATATTTCATCTTGTGCTGAACTGGTGCCTTTTGATATTTCCGCAAAATTTAAATGTGTTTTTTGGGGGGTCATAATTTAGAGTTTTGAACTTATTACAGTATGTAACCATGGTAGCATTACTGTCAGCCACTTCTAAATGAAGTTCTGTTATGCAAAAATGCATTACTGGTGCACTTGGATGAAAGATACATAAAACATTTAAAGAACAGAAGGAATCTTATGGTGTCTTAACATGAACTGGTCATTCTGCTGGGGTCCGTCATGTCACTGGTACCGATACTCATTTAGGACTAACACAATGTTGATTGGAATAATCACATATATACTACTCAAACACCGAATTATTTCATATTACTATAGTTAGTATGTCGTGGCATGACAGATACACTATAGCAATATGAAAGAAACCGGGTGTTCTTTAACTTCTTTTGGGTAGTATATAACCAATGCATACATATACTTTATTTTGAGATTTTATATACATATTGAATAGGACGGGGAATATCAATGACATTTTCTTCTTGTTTAGTTTTCCTTCAGCCCTATGAACATGTAGTCACCGTGGTGTTGAGACTCTAGCCCAGAACATGGGGAGGGATGTGGGGTTTCCCCAGCAGCCAGATGTGTCATGGGAGGGAGGCTCATGCTGGATACATGTCTACAAACAGCCACTGCAGTGTGGCTTTGATCTGTGACTGGCCGTGTTGTGATTGGCTGGTGTGTGTTTTGACCACCCATGCACAAGCAGTGCTGTGCTGGTGTGTGTCTGACACCAGGGTGTCAGGCAGTGAGAAACACAGTGCATCATCCTGGCTATCTGGGCCGTCACCTGCAGATAGTTGGTGTGGTTCTTCCTCGGGATGATGGATCCCAGGAAACACACACACTCCCACACACATTTACACTAGCACATTGCATACAATATCACAAGCTATTTTGTTGTCAAATGCAGGACTTGAAACACACATTTACTCCACCACATTGGAATACAATATCACAAAGTTTCTTTGCCAAATGCAGTGATATTATTGTCAGGATTGGTGCTTGTTTGATGTGATGTGGCATGCAATGACCAACAATTGAACATGAAAGAAGTAATAAATTATGTTTCAGTAGCCAAGGTATTTTATACAGTTTCTAACTAGAACATGCTTATGAAGAATCATAGTTCTTCAACTGCTACTCTAATGACTCCTAAGCACTATCTTCAACAAAGAAGTTAAACAATACCTAATTTTTTTTCTTATGACTATAGTTAATCTGTTATGGCATGGCAGATTAGCAATAGTCTGATGAAAAAAATGGGTGTTTCTTTTGAGTAGTATATTTGATTCTAGCCATAATTGTGAGTGAGTATGGTTCTACACTGCTTTTAGCAATATTCCAGCAATATCACAGCTGGGGACACCGAAAATTGGGCTCCATACATTGTACCCATGTGGGGAATTGAACCCGGGTCTTCAGCGTGACGAGTCAAGGCTTTAACCACTAGGCTACCCCACCGCCTGCCTGGTCATGACAGTTATATGGTATTTACAACCACCATGATGAAGATCCTCAGATTCTAAAGGCCTTTAAGAATGAGAAATACCTTGAAGCTGTTTACCGGTATGTGTATGGAACAAAACTAAATGGGCGAAGGGTGCAGCTATTAGTAATATTTTGGAATGATTGTCCATTGACGATACAGTAGGAGAGCCTTGATCAAGGGCCCCCTGACTGCTCCTATGTTAATTTTGATTGCTATCATTGTGATAAAGTATTTATCAGGGTTGCAACTTGGCACAAGCCTTGGTATCCTGATTTAATTTGTCTAAGGTAGCTCAAGTGCGAGGAAACTCAGTTTTTTTAGGGGTGCCCTTTTTATATGTAATCATTGTTCAGGCTAGTAGATTTAGTTTTCTCCCTGTATGTACAATAATTGTGTGACATGTTGTCTGTCTTCATGTATGTTCGTGTTGCTATAGCCACCTTGTGTGGGGGCACAGATGGCCCTTTTGTCTGAAGTGCTGCAATTTGCTTTGCAGATTTGCGTCCCTTGGGTATGACAGGATTGTCAGCACCATTCCCATGCTTGGGGTTTCACGAAAGTGGTAAACGTCTAAGACCTGGATCACTTTGGGCTTTTTTCCCACATAAGCTGACACGCTATGATATAACTGGAATACTGTTGAAAGCCACGTTAAACCCAACTTACTCACTCACTCACTCCACCTTGTGTACATCTGGGCAGTGGTGGTATATGAGGTATATATGTGCTGAAACCATGCAGTAACACCTCTAGGTGATAACACCACCCTCCGTCCTGCTGATTGCTAAATATCAACTGACTAAGTGACTCCATCCTTTGTTTTTATCACACACTGGCATTTACGCAGTGAGCTCCAGCCCTTGTGCCAACAGTGGCCTCTTCTGTCCCTAGTACAACCACATGTTGGGTGGGGTGGCCACCATGGCATGGAGAACTGGGACAATCATTATGACATTTTTCTTAAAATATTTACTTGAATTTTTCAAGAACTTTAAAATTCTATTATGAAATGAAGTCTTTGTTTCAGTGTTTCCTAAACTTGGATAATAAAGTTAACCTTGAATTGAATTTTTCAACTAGTTTGTTGAAAGCATTATTATGTCAGCAATATTAAATTTTGACATCTTAGTGGAGAGAATTTTTGTGTGCAATTTTAATTGAATGTAATTTGAAACTATGTACTGAAAATACTTTTGTATTGTTATGAAAGTTCCATGCACAAATGAAACCATACTTTTTATTACTTGATGCTGATCTTGAGACCTTGTGTGAATGTTATCTTATAATTCTATCATGTAATGTCTACCTTATACTGACAACTGATTTGCTAATCTTTTCTTTCTTGCTGATGGATTTAAATTTGCTCCATTTGTGTTGAGTGCAGCACCATTATAAAATGATCACGTTTGGGTTGTCTTACAGGAGTTGCTTCCCTTTGTCCAGTTTTCACAACCCATCTGTTTCATGTTTGGGGTATTTGGTGTACTTTGTTGGGAAACAACTTTGAAATTGAACAACTATCTTTGATATATGTGAGACAACATCAGTGTTTGTCTTTTGACAGACTGGTTACTGGGTTTTCTGGAACTGACAGTTAAGAAATAAATACACACTCTCAGTGGGATGTATTGTCTGCAATCTGCCAGAAGTCTACTGCCTGAATGTGTCACTTGATATCATTTTCAGTAGATCAGAGTGTATGAACTTTTATTAGCAAAGCTTACTAGACCGAAAGAATTTTTAGTAGGGCTTCAAGCTGTTGGCTCACAGTCCCAGACTGTGCCTGGTGTATTTGTCACATGGTGTTAGTTACCTCCAAGATGATTTAGTATGGCTTGATATGTTTTGTTCAAACTGTTTCTCTGTTGAATATTACTTAACTGGGGCATACCAATAATGTATGGGTTGTTCAGGTACAAAAGAATCTCTGGCAATAATTAATTTTCATTGGAGGAGTTCTGTTTTCTCATGTGCCACTATTATGAAAAATTACCAATAAAGAGGATAAAAGGCACTTCAACATGTGCATCGTGGTGACAGAATTAATTATCTGTGATGATGTTGATCTATTTGGCTTCAGAGTCTGCCGGCACTAGAGCACCAGTGTATCTTATCAAGTATGAAATAACCACATCTGTAGGTGCTGGGACAATTAATTCCTATAATAATCAAGATGGGCCAGCATCAGATTTAACCGAAGTGAAGAATTATCAATTATGATATGTTATTTTCTCAGTACGTCATATGAAACAGCAATTTCATGGATTGTGGTTTCGAAGAAAGTGAAGCAGTCTGCTTGGCTGTGAATTCATTGTTGTATGAATTGGCCAGTGATTACCACTGAGCTTCAATTCTAGGGGCTGATTTATGTTTGAACTGCTTGATAACAGTAATTGCTGTGTCATTGTTGGCTGCCTGTCCTTGCAGGGATTGTTTGACTGGAATCAGTGTATGTTGACAAGATAATTGAAAACTATCAGGTCTTCCGAAGAGCTGCCTAGTCTCGTGTTACCTCACTGGCCATTCGTGGCCACAAAGGCATTGGTTCCACTCCACCGTTTTGCATCTCTTCTTTCAATTATTTATTGTCAAGGCGGCTGATGCTGTCGACTGACTGATTGTCTGCATTTGTTTTTGGTTCCTGTTTTAAATGTGAATTATGACAGTCGAAATTCTATTAGTTTTGTATGATTCATCCATACAAACATTTTCCGCTTTCCTTCTGACCGGCTGATGAAATGTTCACACCTTGAAATTTGTACATCATCAAATTGGCACTTGTGATCATTTGCAACCCAGTATAATTATATCATGCTGGGCTATTTTCCAGATGGTGATTGCCTGATCACTGATTATTTGATGTTTGTCAGGCCAACGGGGACAGTTTATTTCGCACCTTGGTTCCCA